TGGACCTCATAAAAATTAAAAATTGTTTTTCTGCAAATGATAGGATGAAGAGAATGAGAAGATAACTCCACAGAATATGAGAATGTATTTTCCAAAGAAAAATACAAAATAAAGGCCTATTATGTAAAAGATGCAAAGAATTCTTAAAATTCAATACTCAGAAAACAAATAAGATTCAAAAATTAATAATAAACACATTAATAATAACCTCACCAAATAAGGTAAATAGGTAACAGACAAGCAAATAAAAATGTGTTCCACAACATTTGCCGTCAGGAAAATGAAACAATAACACCCCACTACAAACCTATTAGAATGTTCAAATTGAAGAACACTGGCAACCCAGATGCTAGAGGGGATGTGGAGCAACAGGAACTCCTATTCGTTATTGGTGGGACTGTAAATATATAGTTACATTGGAAGACAATTTGACAGTTTCTTATAAAATTCAGCTTTCTTCCCTGTGATCCAGTGATCACATCCCTTGGTCTTTACCAAAGAAGTTGAAAGCACAGGTCCACACAAAGACCTGTCCACAGATATTTATAGCAGTTTTATTCATAATTGTTAAAACTTGGAAGGAACCAAGTTATTCTGCAGTAGGTGAACGATAAACAGTCTGTGGTACATCCAAACATGGAATAGTATTTAGCGTTAAAAAGAAATTAGGTATTAAGCCATGAAAAGAACATGAAGGAAACTCAACTGTGTATTATTAAGTGAAAGAAGCCAATCTAAAAAGCCTACCTACTGTGTGATTCCAACTGTGTGACATTCTGGAAATGGGTAAACTATGAAGATAGTAAAAAGAGCAGTGACTTCCAGGATTGGAGGCAAAGGAGGGTGAGGAAGGGAGAGACAAAAAGTTCAAACACAGAAGATCTTCAGGGTAGTGAAGATACTCTTATGATGCCATAGTGATGGATATATGTCACTATACTTTTGTTCAAGTCATAGGATGCATACCACCAAGATGGAATACTGATATAGATTATGGACTTTGGACAATCATGTGTCAATGTAAGTTCACCAACTATAACAAACATATCACTGGTGAGGGCTATTGACAGCGGGAAGCTACACATGTGTGGGGACAAGAGGCATATGAATGATCTCTGTACTTTTCTCTCAATTTTGCTGCAAACTTGAAACTGCTTGAAAAAATAAACTCATTTTTTTAAAAAAAATCTTGATATTAAGCTCCAGCCAAGGAGTAGGAGATTATTCCTTTCTCTGTACTCTTTTCAAAATATATATTATCAATCTCTAATAATTTTTGCTAACTTGAAAGCTAAAAAAACCCCCAAGAATCTCATTATTTTAAACACATATCTCAATGGCCCGCTAGAGACTGAGAAACTTTTCATAGTTTTGGACATTTGAAATTCTTATTTTGAAAATTGCCCATTTGCATACTTTGCCTTTCTCTGACAGTTGTCTTATATTGACAAAAGTATTTTGTATATCTAAGATGGTAAAAAAGAGCCATGGAGAATATTTTCTCCCATATGTATAAAGTTTGTTCTACTAAATATATGGCAAATATATTTCCCTAGTATGGTATATGTCCTATTATCTTTTATTATGTTATAGTGTCTTCTGCTTCTAGAATATTTGTCAATAGTCAAATCTGTCAATCTTTTCATTTGTGATATTTGCCTTTCATGTCACTTAGGCTTTAAACATATTATAAATTTTTTTCATATATATATAGGCAACAGATATAATTGCATATATTTTAAAAGGTGTACATACTTATATTTTATGAACTGAAGGCATTGGGCCAGATGGTAGAGAAATAATTATCATATAGGACATCATTAGAAATTAAGTGAAGACATAGTGTAGGCTGGTGCCAGAATGGTGAATTTGGTGGTTAAGGCAATTTAGAGTTTACCCGATCTGTATAGAACATTTTAATAATCCATTCTCTAATATCATTGAGAATATCATTTATTTGTTTGTTTTTGTTGAGGATTGAACCCAGGGCCTCACGTATGCTAGGCAAGAACTTTTACCTTTGAGCCATATCAGCACAACACATGACTTTAAAATTAACGTGAAATCCATGCACATACTACAATGAGATGGGGATGGAATGATGAGTACAGCAAAAGCGTACAGTTATTATTAAGACAAGGAGAGAGTTAAGGCCGATAGCCCATGTCCTTGTGTCTGCAGTGGAGACAGCCCAACTGCTGATGTGAGCATCTGGTCTGGCGGCTGTATCTCTAGTTACTGGAGTTGGGATATCACTGCTGTCAGTCAGACACAACCAAGTTCCTTTGCTCTGAATTTATGTTCATCATGTAATCTTTAGATTGTCATTTAGTTTCCCAAATAGATTGCCCTACTGAGCAGTCAATGCTCAATTAACCACTACCAATATTCTGAATTACCCGAGTTCTTTAGTAAAGAAGTAAAATTTTGCATTTTCTCTGTACCTCTCCCTCAACTATTCCGATAGTGACTGCTCACTTGGTAGGGAAAGTTTACAAGCTATATATGCAATGGCCTGCATGGACCATTTTGTGCCTCCATGATCTATACATCTTTATCACATTTTATTCTGTATGCTGACAAACACTAAATAGATTTTCTTTTTCTTACTTTTACCCAGTGGTATCCACTGACCTACATGTAATACACATGTGTTGGCAATTACTGTGACAGAAAATAGAGAGGGAGAAGGGTCTCAAAGGATAGAGGGGTGATCATTTAATAGTTTATCAAGATATGAAAACTGGCACCTAGTTTTTATGCAATGGAAATAATTCCTGGTCTCATGTGATTTGGAGCTCCATAAGCCATTTTTCTAAGAACTAAGCAAATGTGGTTGAATAACAAATTCTTACATCTGCAGATATGAAACTGGTTCTTTGCCTCCCATAAATGCTCTATTCAGTACCGAAAGTACAGTGATTAATTGGCATGGTAGACAATATACACATAAATATTCACAAGTGGAGGTAAGTCAGTGATTTGGGGTAATTTGTTATTAAAATATTGGTAACTAGTGAAGACAGAAAAATAAGTGATCTTGAAGGTTAAAGAGGAAGATAAGATGCATGGCAGAGGAAAATTGTACTGACTCAACAAAAATATTTTTGAGCACTTAGTATGTCTCACACACTGTTTTAGGCATTTGAGGTACATCAATTAGCAATAAAACCCAACTTCTTCCCCTCATAGGTCTTAATTCCAGAAAGAAGAAACACACAACAAAAATTAGAAATTAGAGTACACCACATTTTTTTTTTTTTGGTGGTACACTTGGTGGTACACTCTTTGGAAAATGGAATCATAGAACTAGGTAAGCAGGGTCACAGTGAGGAATAGGGATGGGTGGGCTAAGATTGTTAAATAGCTGGCAAAGGGGTAGAAGGCTCATTCAGAAGATGGGAATATAAGACTTAAAGGAGACGAGGGAAAGAGCTATTTGTGTATCTGGAGACAGAATATTCTAGGCAGAAAGCTACCATACAAGTCCCTCTAATATCTGAGATGTTAAAATTTCCAGTGTTTAAAACAAAAGAAAACATTGTATTCCAAAAAGATCTCCAAGAGATGTATAGATCACAGAGGCACAAAATGGTCTATGCAGACCATTCCATATATAGCTTGTGAACTTTCCCTACCAAGTAAACAGTCACTATGGGAACCATTGAGGGAGAGGTACAGAGAGATGATGCAGAATTTCTCCTAAACTGGCCAAAAAGATAAAGGTGTGTACAGGTATACACTTATCCATTTAGGTAATGGATACTTCCTAGAGTTTTAGATCACATGCAAGCTCATTTGTTGAGAGTGAACTGGACCACCTCATGATTGTGTACTTGGAAGGAAAGGAGATGGATGGGAAGAAGGGTTTCTTGAAGATTTTCTCCATAAGTATTTTGGCATTTGTCTCATGCAAAGTGAAACTCATTCCATTCTGAAATGTTCTGCCAAGAAGAGCCTACCAGAAAGGATTTTGATGTAAAGAGTGAAACTTGAGGAGCCAAAAGAAAACTATTATATTCCAGTTGAGGTTATCATGGCTGAAGCAGAGATCCCAAAATGGATGATGACAAAGGATGCATGAGTCACTCATTGCACTTTGTGACCGGAGATAACAATTTGGCAGGGGACAGGGTGGGATGACCAGATCCTTAGACCATGCTGCTGCTTACTTTTGTGACTTCTGGCCAGTTACAAAATCATTTGGGGGCTCAGTTTCTACATCTGTGGAAATGAATTGAGAAATAACACCTGTTTGACCTATTTCATAGAGGTTTTGTGAAAATCAATTGAGGTAACAGCAGAAATTGTTCTGTGAGTAATCAAATGCTGTACAAACGGGAGATGTTATTCTCCAGGCTTTTATTCTCATCAAATAGCTGATATAACACTTGACTCGCTTAAGTTCACACCTGCAAATAATTTGCATGTTCGAGACCAAAGTAAGCTCAGTCCTGGTGGTTTACTATTCTGTCTCCCCCAACAAAGGCTAGAAAGACCCAAGGTTGGGAGAAGGTTCCAAGAAATCTTAGCCCCATGATATAGATTAGAAGACAGCATAGGAAGAAAATCCATGCTCTCTTTTAAATTTTGAACAGAAATAAGAGGGGGCCATGTCTTTGTGGGAAATCTTTCCATTTCTGCTCCCAAGGTTTGATTTTTCTGTGGCTCAGAAGAAAAAGTGGAGACTAGTAGGCTGGACCACTGACCCATACCCCAACTATCTCTCCTTCTGGGTTCTTATCAGACGTGAGTTTGGCCAGCTTTTCCCAGCCCACCAGCTTGCTTTGCTCCTCCACTGCTGATTTTCCTGAGAGCCCCATAATTCTCAAGGTCAGACCTTCCCATGCAATGCTGAACTGACAAATCTAATCTCTCAAGCAAACAGGTTATTTTGCTGCAAAACCTCACAAAGAAAGGGGAGGGACATTTCCCTTGGCTTGAAATTTTAGCTACTTTGAGTCCAAGCTCACAGAGTTTCTCTATGCTTTTCTTCCAGGGGGCCGGAGGGCAAAAATAGGAGGGTAAAAAAGGAGGGCTTGCCATCTCCATTTCCAGCCTCAGTCAGACCACTCAGAAACTCTCCTCACAGCTTTTATCAGCTTAAACCTGGCACAGACATGTGGTGTGTGAAAGGATGTAGGTTGTTATTCAGTGCCTCTGGCATATCATGTTAAGATGAAAAACACAAGTTTGCTACTTAAAGGGGAACTGTCAGTCCAAGGTCATCAATCCCCAGCAGGCCATGGTACAAGCCCCACCACAAATACCCGTTCTGGGTGTGGGACAAAGCGTCTGGTTAGTGTCTCCATTTGGAAGAAGCAGAGAGAACAGCATTTCCTCCAAATACCAGATCAATCATTTAGGAGCAATTCATCTTCTACTAAAATGATCTCAAGTTCACAACTAATAAGACCACAGCTGCCTTTTTATGGTTGAGTTACCCACACACAACTCGGCACCGCGTTTTAGGTCAGGTCACAACTGCGTAATAGGCCTCAGACTTGGCAGTTTCATGTTCTTCTGACTTTTCCTTGCCCAACCCACACCGAATTACATGCTGACCAAAGCTCCCCTGGAGTCACATGGAATGAGGATTTGGCTCCAATGATCCAAATTTGCAGCCCAAAATGGAGGCCTCCCTGGGCCGACTAAGTTTTTCCATTTCACTTGCAGAGGGCTGCCATGCTCTTTCCAAAGTCCTGTGCAGAATCTAGCCTGCATTTTCCTGCTGATGGTCCAGGTTACACAAACGTAGATAGGAGAGTCACAAGGCATGTGTCCAGATGGCCCTTAAACTATAGAGTTACCCAGAATTCAAGAACAAAATGAGACTCAATTGTTTACAGAATGAACTTGAACTGTAAGGAGTACAGAGGGAAATAGATCTCAGGGAAAGAGAAGAAGAAAGTAAATAAAATTTGGTCTTTGTTTCCCCTCTTTTCAAAATCAATTTTGCTAAATTGTTAATTAGCCTTGAAAGGATGTAAAGAGCACTAGGGAGGAAGTCGATGTTAGCATTTTGGATATCCTGGCATGTATCATGTGCAGTCTCTGGGACAGCAAGATGACACAGACTGACATGTTGCTCCAGGCATATGCTCTATGTTACCATTATATTTGTGTAACTGATCCATTCCCAGCACATAAATCCCTGACCTCTGGGTGCTGAGGGATTAACATATCAGTCACGGTGTTCAAACAGTTGTCTTTATGTAGGTGGATGTTAGTTTCTTCTTATTTGCCTCTCTGTGTTCCTAGACTTTTAGTCTGCTCTAATAATACAATATTCCAGTCAGCTAATGGGCACTGGCTTGAGCACCGGGGCTTTGGGATTCACTGCTGCTGCCCTTCTATTTTAACCTTGGTATTTCCATTAGCATTTCACCTTAGGACGATTGCCACAGCCAAGCACATGTGCAGAACTGAACACAATGCTGTGTGCAAAAATAATGATGAATGAACAACATTTAGGTGCTCCCATGGTTCTTTTGGGTCCCATCTTTATCATGAATTTATCCTGCCTGTTGTCTAGACTTCTGCTTAAAAATTTGTAATGATGTGCTGTGACTCAACTCTGTGAGATTTGCCTTCGTTTAAATCTTTGACTCAAGTAAAGAATAAGAAAACAAAAAGGGTACAGCTCTATGATGTTTTACTATAGATAGTCTCCTGATTCACACCTTAACAAGTATATGTAGTCTCTATTTTCTTTTTTTTTTTGTTTCTTTACAAGAATATTCAAATTAATCCAGCATGAATTCCAGCAGAAACTGGAATAAATGAAGAAAGCATTGTTTTAAATTTCAACGAACTGCCAATCTGGTGAGAGTATGTATGTATCTGATGGAGACGAGGGTAGGGAATAGAGTGATACAGGGATAAGGAGTAGGAGGTGGTTCTAAGAGTATATTAATAGTTACAGTTTAAAGCATACCTAAGGCTTTCCAAAGAAGTGCAAACTGCTTCTAGGCTAAAAAGAGGGAAAGATTACATCTGATGGAGGAAGTTCAGGGCTGCTTTATGAAGCGGCTTGTTCCTTTCTTCCCCACAACACTTGGGAGCATCGTTCCCCTATCTTTATTCTACATCTTCTATCAGGGTTCCAAGCATCAGCTTATTTCAATCTTTCTCTTTCCTTCTCTTTCACAGTCACCCACCAACCCCTGGCCATTCTTCCATCTTCTACACCTTATAGATTTTGTCCCTTTTATCAGTTATCATCCTCAAAAACTCAGTCATGTTACCCATTATCAGCTGCAGACTCAGCTACCCCCTGATGTAGTCAGACATTAACTTTCATCACCACTGAAATGGGTCCACTCCCATAATGCAAACTTAGAACCTCCATTTCTCTTGTCATCTTACATTTAACAAACTTATTTTTGTTTTTTGTTCTCATCATGATCTTCATCTTGTCCCTCGATTCTTCATGATCTTCATCCTCATCCTCAATTACCATTTTGACCTTAGTCACCTTCTTCTTCTCTAGCCTAGAATTTCTGGTTTGCCATTTATTAAACAATGTGGGTGCTTCCCAGGTAAACTTCCTGGACATGATGTCACTTGTCAACCTTCAACTGCCATGCTTCCCTGAGCACTTTCAATCCATTTGCTGATCTCTTAACTACCTAATGAATCCCCACATCTCCTGCTTTAGGCCTTTACTGCTCTCCTCAACAGTTTCACCATCATCTATAGGAAAAGCTCTCTCCTCATAAGTCTTTGAACAGGTATAGAGCAAAGCTGTTCAATAGAATTTCCTGTGAGGATGTCAATATTCTGAATATACACTAATACATCAGCACTAGGCATGTAGAACTATTCAAAACAAAGTGTAGCTACTGAGACTGAGGTACTAAAATGTTATCTTAATTTAATTAATTAAAATTTAAATAGCAAAATGTAACTAGTGTCCATTCTATTGGACATCCCTGATAGAAACTGGTGTTGTCCAGAAATACTGTAGAAATACAGTTGTCTCATATGTAATTTTAAGTTTTCTGGTAAGTACATTAAAAAGTAAAAAGAAGCAGGAGAAATTAACTTGATATAATTAGTGATACTTTAATATAATTCATACATATTAATATATCAAAATAGTATAGTTTTAATATGTAGTATATATAAAATTATTGAGGAGAGGGAGATTTTATATTCTTTTTCATGCTATATTTTTAATATCTGGTATGTATTTTATCCTTCTAGAGGATCTCAATTCAGACACTAGATTTTCATGGGAAATATTTGATTTGTATTCAAATTTCGCAAAATTTGCAGTTGAAAACACATCAAGTTATGTCAAGCACACTTAAAAAGTTTTCTGTGAAGTGGATCAAGTATTAGTCTTTCAATTCAATTTCCACTAATTAAAACTAAATGAAATAAAATTTTAAAAATTACTTCCCTAGTCTCTTTGGTCACATTTCAAGTGCTTTCTTCCTTGACGAATCCTCATCTAGGCTCTCCCTGCCTACCAACCTCAAAGTATTGTTTATTACTTCACCTCCTTTTTTTTAAACTCATGTCATTGATATTTTTCCTCTTGTCCTGCCTGCCTCCTCTCTCTCTCTCTCTCTCTCTCTCTCTCTCTCTCGCTCTTTCTTTTTTTGTAGTTGTTGTTCTACAAGCCAGCAGCAATCACCTGAGAAACCCCAGACCTACTGAATCAGAAATTCTGATTTAGTAAGCCCTCCATGTGATCCTGATGCCTACTAAAATATGAGATTCACTGACTCAAGAGAAAAGTACACTTAAGAGGTAAATTAAAACTAATAAAAGCAGTAACTTCTGTACAGGATGGAGCAGGGGACAAGTAGGATGGCGACAAGGGTAGAAGTGAGACTTTTTTTTACATTGTGATTTTGAACAGTTTAAATGTTCAACTTGGACATAAGAAGAGGACATTTCAAATATACTGACAGCCTTTTTCCTGCTTCGTTTTATTTGTATTGAGTTGGGTTAGACCTCAGTATATTTTAAACTCCCTCTAGGTGTCCTATGAAGTGCAAAATTCACTGTGTTTTAGTATATTCAGAGTCGCACAGCCATCACTTCAATCAATTTTAAAACATTTTCATCACCCTCCAATCAAACCTCATACCATTAGTAGTCGCTCCCACTGCCTCAGTTACCCCCCAGACTTTTTTATTTTTAAGTAAACATTTTATTACTAACAATTTAGGAAATAATATTACCAGCCATCATATATTTAGGTGAAACATGTTTTTAAGGCATTCATATTAAGTTTGACAACGCTGAAGTATCTCTCCGAGTCATAGATCTCTCTCTGAGCCTAAAACTTTTATTTTTACTTATTTATCTTTTAGTTTTCAAAATACATGGAGTCTGCAAAATTTTCGCCAACAACAGTCAAAATTGCTTTTGACCTGGAAGTGAAATAGCTCCTCAATATAGAAAGAAAATAACCTCTTCTTTTCCTGACTACCAATATAAGTTTCCCAGTTTTCACAGGGGGGAGTGGGAGACACAGAAACAAGCAAGGAAATTTGAATGGAGAAAAAAGTGGGATCCAGAAGCTTTCCTGGCCTTAGACCATGCTGAGGATCCTAGGAAAAGGCAAGGGAGAGCCACTGGGACAACAAAGGCGGAATGCTCAACTCATCCTTGAAGGCATCTTTCCAAACACTGCCTCCCTTGATCTCCCAGGGCCAGAGGATGATAAAATGGTTTGTGGGCTCTGGCTGGTGCCACAGAGATGAGCGGTTGCACATGACCCCCTCCACCTCCCAACTCCTCTCAGAGGGTGGCTTTGTTCTTCCCAGCCCCCAGGGCTTGTGTTCTGTGGGAGGCTAGGACAGTTTTTGTTATCAAGTAGACATATCAGTTTCAATGACAATCATCCTTCTCCAAAAAAGGAAAAAAACAAAACAAAACAAAAAGTTATTTCTCATGATTTCCTCCCTTGCTCTAAAAATGTAAGCTTTAAAGGGAAAGGAAGAAGATGTGGGTAAGAGGATAAGAATGTACCGACAGGAAAGTAAAATGAAGATCCTCAGCATCCTCCCTCGACTGGCCCCACGGAGTCTGTTTCCAAAACTGTGCACATAAAGAAATGCATTTCCTCAGAGTGTGCACCAAGAAAGTTCACCCAGGTGGCCGCATAAAGAATCTGCAGAAGAAGAAAGATAGAATGTTCATCTTGGGTTGGCAGAGTCGGGGGAGGAAGGATGCACTTCACATGCAATGAAGTGAAATGAGGAAGGTGGAGGCAAAAAGCCCAAGCTAACAGTGTGTTCTTGCCTTCCTCCCTAACACAATGACACACGTGACTTAATGAAGCCAGGGAGTTCTGAGGCTGATGTAAAAGTTCCAAAAAAAAATACTCCGTGGCAAAGGCCCCTGGGTAAACGATGTCATTTCTAATTTCTCCAGTTCCCATGATTTAGAGCAGACCCGGGATCTGAAATTCACACCAGCTCTTTGTGTACAGGGGTCTGGGCGGCGAGGGCCCGGGCCTGGGGAACAGGGACGCAGGCTTCCTATGTGATTTCACCACTGCTGCCCTGCTTTGTTTCACGTTTAAAATAATTTGCCAGGTAAAAATAAACTTCTCAAAAACATAGAGTGAAAAATGTACTTAACAATTCAATCCCTGTAAGTTTAGGATTGACAGAGAAAGTGCAGCCAAGGCTAATTACATTACCCAAGATGTATTTGAATAGTGGTTTCACTAGCAAGTTTATTAATTCACATCGTTATCATTGTTATTATTACCACAACTGGTAAATTATGCTTTTCATGAGATAGCAAAATGTGCAGGCTATTGGCTTTCATTTATACCCTACTTAGCTTTTGGTTTCTCTCCTGAGTACCATTCTTAGAAAGCAAGCCTCATTTGTCCTAAGTTCCACATCTCTGAATGGCATATACTGAGTTATTTTTGTTTATAACTCTTTGGAAATAATTAAGATCTACAAGGGTTTTTTTTGTTTTGTTTTGTTTTCCTTTTGCTTTTGCCAGTCATTCTTACAATAGGAATATGTATAGTATTTGTGACATCAGTTCCCTGCAGGGTGATTTTCTGGCATTTAGCTGATTTATAAACCTCAGACTCCCAGGTTCAAATTCAGTGGAATCAGAATTGCTCTTTGTCTCTCAGGGACAATTTATGGTATATGCACAGGAGGTTTGTGCAGCCCGAATGACCCTGTGTATTAAATATCAATTGCCGATTGCATATTTGCTCATTTGCCCAATAATTTTGACCATATTTAAGAAGACTTGACTGAAAGGAGCAAAACTTAACTGTACAATATGTTATGCAAGCATTCCAAGTCTTCCTGATTCAAGAAGAACCTACCAAATTTTTGTAAAATCCTTCCGAAATCTGGGATAAAACAATTTTGACTTCTAAAACGTGCTACTGAAGTGTAATCTCTGGTCCAACAACATTGGAATTGCCTAGGAGTCTGTTAAACATGCAGAATCTCAGACCCGTCACAGACCTACTGAATCAGTCTGCACTTCATCAAGATCCCCAAGTGACTCAGAAACACATTAAAGTTTGACAAGCTGCTCTAGTATGGAGGAGAGAGATGTCTTCTCATCCCAGCCTCACAAGCAGCTTCCTACCACCTTGATTTTCTGCACCAAACCTTGAAATAAATATCATTTGACAAACTTAGAAATTATATTCTAAAATATTTTCCCATAAAATGTAATGCAGTTTATACAAGATCTATCTCAAAAGATTAAACAACACAAATGAAACACCTATAGCCAAAATGTTCTATTCTGCAGCTCATGCTGGTTTGGAGGAAAGAATGAAATGTGTTGGATGATCCTGGGTAACTGATTTCATCCCCTATGATACAATCACCTTCTTATGCCATGAGTCACCCTCTGGCTAATTTTGTAGAGTGAAAAATTCTTCAGACATAGCAGGCTGTAGAAACTCCTTCATTTCTACCCTCCATTTTTTTTTAAATAAAAAGGAAAAAGAAAGGCAAAAGATGGCATAAAATAAAAAATTAAATTAAATGCTAATTTGTAAACTTAACAAAAATTCAATTTGAAATCACTTTCTTTCCTACTGTGCAGGCCTCCATGAATTTCATACCATGCAGTTTATTTCACTAATAACACCCTTGTGCATGAATTTGATGGGTAACAAGTATAAAGTACTTCTGCACATGATAATATTTCCTTTTAAATTTTATCTCACATTAAAAATCAGTTATCTCTCCCTCACTCATAAAATATTTATGCAAAGTAATTAGACTTTCAGTACTTATAAGTATGGCAAAATTCTTTGCATTAGGAATAAAATGTAAATACTCAGACTGCTGCGGTTCTTGACAAAAAAGAATCCAAGGTCCTTGGAGAAGGATTCTCACTTTGGAATTATTTTGAGCACAGAAATGTAGCATTTCTAAAAAGGACGATCATTTTACAGAAATAGTTTTCCATGTGTTTTACACTCACTTCAACATACAAATAAAATGTTATTCATATATAGAAACTGTGATTCTTTTCTAAAAACAAATACACACTCTGGGTTTAAAAATTCCCTTGGTGAGGTGTACAGGAAGAGCCTTCACTGTGGTATTAATGCATTCTGAATTACCGTGGAGGACCTCCGGGAATCCCTACTCTCACTAGCATAAAAATAGTTGCTCTATTTCCTTCCCAAAGCACTTTGCAGAAGATGATACTTAACTAATGCAAAACTCTGATAAAATTCATGGCTATCTGAGGATGTCTTGATCTGAGTAATTTTAATGCTGGTTCTAAAGTGGTTGTTTTTTGTGGCTCCAGCTGATCTTACATGGGCAGCCAGTCAGTGAGGAAAAGCTGAGAGGACTGTGAGGTCAGCCCTCAGGACTGAGGAAGGGCAATATTTCAAGGAAAGGCCAAGCTTGTGTGGACTGGGTAGGGTAGCCATGGTGGGGGTGGTGTGGAGGCGGGCAGCAGGGAGGGAATTATCAAGAACTTGAGGGGGCATAGGGACAGAGTTGCTGCCCCTCATTGGGGCAGGAAAGTCTATAGGATAAAAGAACTCCTGGAAGTAGTAGAGCTTGTCCACATCCATCATAGGTGACAGTACCTTGGAGGTCCTGTCTAGAGAACCTGGGAACTGAAACCAGTTCCAGGAAAACAGACTGAAAACTACAACCCCAGGTGAAGCCACTCTGAGAGAGCTGCTGAGAAGACATGAGGAACAGTCGTAGTTTGAGGCCTGGTGGATACTACAAGAAATATAAACTCTAGACATTTACTTTGGAGTCATAAGACATACCCCTCCACTATCAGGAACATTTTTTTTTTGGCTGGGAAGAGCACCAGGAATTGAACTCAGGGGCACTCGACCACTGAGCCACATCCCCAGCCCTATTTTGTATTTTATTTAGAGACAGGGTCTCACTGAGTTGCTTAGTGCCTCCCTTTTGGCTGAGGCTTGCTTTGAACTCACGATCCTCCTGCCTCAGCCTCCTGAGTCACTGGTATTACAATTGTATGCCACCATGCTCAGCCAGTATCAGGATCTTAACGAGGGACTAGAAATCCAGTGGTCCCTTTACTCCAATGGCTAAAGGCCAGAAAATAATCTAGTGTTGCTTTCCCAAACAGGAGGCACACTCTTGAATTCCATCAGCATTTATGAAGCTGGAGAAATGTTGGACCATCATAGGGCCTTTAAGACCCATCAGTTGATTCAGAAAGGCTAGGATGGGACAGGGAACCAGCAAAAGCTGTGAGAAGAGCCTGGGATTTTGTGTAAAATGAAGAGAACAACC